CAGAAGCGATAAGGGCGGTATCAAGTTCATTTAAAACGGCAGAGTGCCCGTTCTTCGAGGCGCGTGGCATAAGTTACATGAGGCACTGGTTCCAAAGTAACGTCGTTCTCGCAATTCGATTCCTCCAAATCGCTTTCGCCCCGTAGCTCATTCAAAATGCCCTAAACCTTGCACGGTTTCGCAGTGTCGGCATCATCATAGACCGTAATTAAACCACTGCAACAGATGTCCCTCCCGCTCTCCCAGGGCGAAGTCGACAATGCGCTGCTGGAATGATCCTGTTTGGAAGCTTCAGGCTCGGCATCGGGCCTGATGTCGACCTCGCGAAAACAGTTTCGCGCGCATATAGCCATCACCGCCAGCCACGGAATATTCACCATCTCCACAGCTGAATACCGGGACCCCCCAAGCGGCAAGTTGGCTGCTAGGCGGTCAACAGCAAGCGCTATACGCCCAAGCAAGCCGTCACACTTTCGACGTTATGTTGAGCGGCAGGAAAAAGCGTGCAAGTCCTCCCGTCTGCCATCCTGACCAAACACGCACACCAAGAGCGAGCAAGACCCTCACGCATGCCAAACGCGTGGAACGGCTCTGGGCTCGTTTCTAGTCTAAAAATCAAACTAATTCGAGCCAGCGTGGCTGGCGTCGCAGAGCGGTGGAGATTAGCGAAGGGGTTGTGATCAAGAGAGGAGAGCAAATTTGTGAGAGAAGAAGGGCAATAAGTTGCGATAGAGAGGGGAGAATGCAGTGGAAGGGCGACCTTGAAAACCAGTACACACTGTAAGGAGGCAGGTTGGGTAGCTTGCCTAAATGTCCGCGAAACGCGCACATAGAAAAAACTTGAGAGTTGTTGAACTTGAAATCCGCACTGGCGGGTTTGTGTGGCCTCACCAACTTCGATACTATTTCGCGATTCGTTCTGCGCAAATTAACAGCAGTCTTCGCGCTTCTGCACGCCTGCGTAGGGCATGATGAGCTGAGTGCGAAGTGAGCGAGAACAAGCCCTAAAGGCGAAACAAATCGCAAATTATCAGATTCAGTGGGATAGCGTATGCGCGTGCACTTGACGCAGACGATTGGATACAGTCGGTGGCCGACTATGTTGGCAAATGGTCTGGTCAATCCAGGCCGGCGACACCAACGACAGACAGTACCAGCGATAAAAAAAAAAAAGGTAGATGGCCGACCAGTCTTCGAAAGATCGGAGGCAGTGTGAAACACACAGGCTTCGTCTGGCGATGTGGGGTGCTCAGAATAGCGGGGAGACAAAGAACGGAGGGGTTTGTAACAAAAAGCGGTTGGGGAGAGCAGCAACTAGAGGGCCGTGGAGGCAGAGTCGGCGTTTAACAATAAGAATGTATGGGCACCTCGGCATCGGTGGTCGAAAGTGGTTTCCCGGGAAGTCGGCAGAGCACCGACTCCGTTCCCTGTAACCGATCAGCAGCGCTCGAAGGCGTTCATTGTAAGTGCGATTTTGTGCCATTGAACCAATGTATATTTTTACGGTCACGCGGATATTGTTAGTTTTAAGTGAAAGTTTGCATTAGGTCGGGCCGCTATATGTGGGCACGACTGTATGAACAAATCTGGTATGCATCACCACCAGGTCACAAGAAACAAAACTACCTAAGCAAAAGAGACGAGAACTGTACGCTGTTTACGTAGGTGCAGAATGTTCACCCACACGTTAAACTTTAAGTTGACCGCGCAAGCGCTGGATCATGGGAACCGACCGGCTGGACAACAGTTAGGCGTCGATCCGTACGTATTAATTTCGCCGCATATTTTGCGGACCAGGACAAGATAAACAGTCACGCGAAATTTTCACTGGTGTAACTCCCGCGACTTTTTTCTTCCACATAATGAACCCTTCCCCCAAATTGGCACCAACTTTCCTGGGAGAAAAAAAAAACAAGAAAAAAGGGTGGTTCATTACACAGGTAAATACGGTAGTTTTGTTTGCCGTTTTTTAGGGCTGTAGAAATGTCATACACTGCTCTAAATGATTGCCTTGTTTATAGACATTAGCAATCAACTAGTACTCACAATTATGTGGCATATACATGCTGCATAATTGGAACAAAATGAGCAGTGTCCTATGACTAGTGCTAACAGCCCCTTCTAAATCTTAATACGCTTTTCTGCAGGGCACCAGTGCATTGCAGCTAATGTGGCTTAAGCAGCATTCTACACAAGACAGAACAAGGCTGAGGAATTTTGACCCCCCCCCCCCCCCCCTTCTTGATTGAGAAATGCAAAGGCGTTTCTCAGGCTAAGTCAGGCATCCAGCGTTCTCCACGGCGCTGTCCGCGTGTGGAGAGGTGTAATCTCTCCGCTCTCATTATCTCTCCTCTAGCAACGGCTGTGGGCGCGCGCGCTTATCCCCGCCCCTAGCAGCGAGAGTACAGTGGAACTTCCATTAAACGACTTTCAGGGGACCGTGCAAAATTGTCGTACAATCCAGGCGTCGTATAATCGAAAAACAAGAATATAGGCACTGATGGTCGTTGTTGCCCCACAACAGTTGTCACATAATGCGTAAGAAAGTCCGCGGCACAAATCTACGCTGCTCCGATGAAGGCAGCTTAAATTACTTAAAAAAATGACAACCATGCATTTTATCAGAGGTGTGAATAAATCTTTATTGTCACCTTTTAAAAAAATATGATTTTTTCTGCGAGTTTGCCCAGCCACGATGCATCAGCTTTCTTTCGAGGGCTGCGACATGTGGCAGCAAGTCGCCGATCTCGGTGCAAGCAAACCGCCGAATGTTGTCGACCTAGCACAACACGTCCGCGTACGTCGGAACGGACACACTAGCCTCTGCAGTGTCAACCATCTCTTCCTCGTCGGAAGTTCCCGCAGTGTCAGGACGCACAGTTTTGGATAATGTCATCCAGCAACACTGCACTGCACACTGCAACATCGTCATCGGCACCAACATAGTCCGCGAAGGATCCAGGCAGCTCCAGGTCACCGAACTCTGGTTCGTCGTCAACAGGCACTGCAGCTTCACTGGTAGAACAAGCACCACTTCTTTTAAAGCCGATGTCCTGAAGCAGTTGACAATGGTTTCTGGCGTGATTGCGTCCCATGCACTAGCAATGTAGTACATTTGCATCAAGCACAGGAAGCTTCTTATCCAACTGCTTGCGTTCCATGCCCGCCAGCCGACGCTGCACCAGAAACTTCCCATATTTCTGCCTCATGCACTTGATGACACCGGCGTCAAGTGGCTGCAGCTGGCTAGTGCAGTTAGGGGGCAGAAATGTAACTTTCACATTTCTCAAATGCGACGTATCTAATGGGTGGCATAGCGCATTGCCAAGCAAAATAATCTTTCTGTTTTTAGCCCCCATTTTTGAGTCCAGCTGCTGCAGATATGTTGAAAACATAGCAGCGGTCATCCAGGCTTTCCGGTTGAACATGTACTGGCATGGCAGCCTTTCCAAATTCTTGAAGCATCGCAGCTTCGCAAACTTGCCGATCACGAGGGCAGGAAGCTTTTCTGAGCAGTCTTCATTAGTGCAAAGCAATACAGTAAGACGCTCTTTGCTTCGCTTACCCCCGTGACAGCTCTCTCCTTTGAATGTTAATGTCTGCTCTGGCTGCATATTATAAAATAATCCAGTTTCGTCCGCGTTGAACACGTCGGACGGCTTGTATTGCCGTATCAATTCCGGCAGCAATGCAGTCCACTTTTCAACAGTCTCAGAGCTGACTGACGAGCTCTCCACAGCAGCGGCTGTACACAACTCCACTGCGTTTTTAAAGCGATGCAACCAGGCATTGGAGGCTTTAAGGTCATCAATGCTGCAGCGCAATGCATCTGTCTCAGCCTTCTACAAAATTGCGCCATCCACGGCAATTCCTGAACTGCGGGCCTGACGCAACCACTCAACAAGGGCCGTCTCCATGGCAGCATATTTGCCATCTTTCGCGGCCTTCCTGTTCAAGCCGAACTTTGCCGCATTTAGTAGGATGCTGTCCTTTGCGAGGATCCTTTTCAGCGACGACCCAGAATGTTCAGGTCTCGGGCAATGCTGGCCTTTGTTGCTCCGCTTCTCCGCCTCCTCGATTATGCGAAGCTTTTCTCCAAGCGTCAGCGGTTTTCGGTTCCGGGACATTGCGAGACGCAGCACTCGCAACCAGAATTCGAAAGCTTCCTCGCACCACCAATGTCCGAATACTGAAAATTTTGCACGTAGACGCAGCAGCTGCGGCGCACAACCCACCGATGAGGGCAACATGTGAATGAATGCTGAAAGGCAACAAGGCAGTGGGCCCATTCGATTTTTGCAAGCGCGTACGTCTGCGCAAGCTTCGACCAATCGCGAGGAGCTAAAGCTCCCCAGCCCTCTGGTATCTAGACAGCAGCTAGTTCCGTTCCCGCGGCTGTCCCAAACGTAGACAGGCTCAACATCGCCGTTCAACATGTCCGGTACAACGAAGCGAAATCTAGTGAAAGTTATCTCATACTAAAAGCGAGCTCGAAATTATCTGCCATGTTACCTGCTCACAGCTGTCACTACAAAACCACCCAAAAGAAGGCAGAAAACAAAACAAAAAAAAAGGCAGCGCGATGCGACTAAGCAAAACGAATGCTGGCCCTGGACAACGTTGGCTCTGGCTAGCTATGGCCGACAGCGTGTCGAAAAATTGAAGAGGCCCTGTGGTGGAGCGCGGATTTGTGCTATGTGATGCGGGTTCTTGTTGCTGATTTGTTTTTCTCCCGGGCTGACCTCAGAGGTTTTGTTAATAAGGACAAGCCGTCGGTTTCCAAGAAACACACAAAAAGTTTAATTGAAAAGTAAAAAGGCAAAGATTCCTCACAAACAAAACACTTAATAAACAGTTGACTGGACATGACGAAACACATCTGTAAACACCCAACAAGACCGTTCAAAGTCAGTAACAAACCTAACGTTCGAAAGGGGCTGAGTGATGGGAGTAGCGCAAGAGTATCGGTGCAGTCTCACCACAAGTTGGTTTTCGGCAGGTGATGAGAAACCGGAACGCCGTGACTCCTGCGTCAATACGTGGGCTGGACGAGGACGAGGGAACGCTGGCTGCTGGCGACACGTCGAAAAGCCCTACCAAATCGTGATGGTTTCGGCTTGAGGGAGCGTGGGACACGTCGGAGACGGGGAGAACGCAGGCTGGTGGCGACGCGTCGGCGGAACTAGGTCGACCTAGTCAAGCAGCTGGGCGCACAAGCTCGGGCCCGAGCCCGACGGCTGTAGCTCGCCTGCCGGAACCAAGGTCCGCAGGCCCTGGAAAGGAGTTCAGGACCGGATGGCCACGGTCCTTTGGAGCGGGAACCCGACAGCAGGAGGCCCCGGCCGGTGGGAGTCCTGTAGGCTCGGGTCCGGAACCCAACGGCCCATCTTCAGCGCCCGGTCCGGTGACGACCTTCCGCTTGCACTGCCTGCCTCGAATTCCCCTTGCTCTGTCCCCCCCAGGCTCCTGCTTCAGCTCTGGCCCACTTGGTCTCGTTCTCATTGGAGATACTGCTGTTTCGTGGTGTCAAGCCATTGGGCCTTGAAATCTCCGTGTTCGCTGGCCCATTGGATGTTTTACCTTTTGTTTACTTCACGTCCTGCCACGCATCCTCGTGCTTGACGCTCTTTAACGTCGTCATTCTTGTTTAAGCAGCACCGCACGTGCACTCTGGTATTTCTCCTTTTGTTTTTTTTTTTCCGTGACGCGCACTTTTCGAAGGCGCGCACTTTGAACGCGCACCACACATCACATACGCCCCCCTTTTATTCAAGTTTTTTTTTTTTTAGAAAAAAAAACTGCCGATGAGTGCGCGTTCTGCACTACCGTCACAATTAAACCACATATTGCACCACGCAGTTCAACACATCACCGGGCTACAGTTCGCTACATCGTCCCAAATGTCACACTTAAACTTTAGATTCACCCAATTGCATTTAAAAGTTCTGAAACCCGGAATAAACCTTTTTACTACAAAATCGACTATGGACCAAAGCTACTTGTGTCCGCATCTAAAAGTCGAAGTCCAGAAAGAGCTACCGGTTTCTAACCCTACACTCAGGTTATCGCGTCCCAAACCAGACGCACTGCCCTTCTCGCACGTTCGAAAGTAACTGTGGCAAACATGCTTTTAGCACTTTCGCTGAAACGCGTGTCTGCGCCCCCGCCGGCCACATGAAACGCTTACCGGTCACAGAGGAACAGGGCGCGGTCTCGAGCCGTCGGCGTCGACACGAAACGCACTGAGACACGAATGTCCAAATGCCACAATCTCTCACACAAATGCTTTTCTTTTAGTTCACCATCTAATGAACACAAGCTCGGGGTGCCCTCAGCAAGCCCAACGCTCCGACAAGCGTGTGAGGTCCTGGATTCTTGAGAAGGGATGCCGTTGTGCTCGGTCATTATACAGCTCATCTTGAGTGGACTTAATTATAGGTTCAAAACCAATCACGTTCTCAGGTTCAAGACCCTGTCTGGCATTCTCCATACCTACTATCGGAGCCCACCTCCGATTCGATACTGTTTATTTTGAAGAGTGCTTCAGCACTCCCATCGTGTTTTCTCGGACAAATAGCAGTTACGCTATCCTGTGAACTAGAATCCCCTCTCTCTCTGAGTGAGATATACGTATGGTCTAGGACCATTGACGTGGTGCCTGCTGCTACCTCTGTCGGTACAAAACAATCAGTGGCCACTATATCAGAGCCTTCATGGCATTCGCTGCCATCTTCCCAATGACGTTCTAGCGCTCCTTCCATGGAGCTATTGAGAGGTAGCCCTACCCCTTCCCGAAATGTGCTCGGCCTTTGAGACGTTCTGATACACACCTCATTCTGAATGGAACTTCTTTGTTCCCTGCTATCGAAGCTTTGCTCCACAACATTTTCCACAGCTTCTAGGTCGCCCATATCCAGGCGCTCTTCTTCATAGGTGCTTGGCCTCTCAGAGGTCCCCAAGCAGCTAACGGAAGTAATATGTTCCCAGCCAGAGGAGCTTTCCGTCGCTTCAACAAACTCCTCATGACTCCTGCCTTCTTGGCTGTCCACCTCTCTGCCTTCCTCTATCTGAGCTTCTCGCTCCGAAGTAAGGCTGTCGCGAGGCTCGAGGCCAACCTTGCAGGAATCGACTTCCCTCCAGCAAACGCTGCTATCGGAGCAAACATTCACCGCTTGCTCGACCTTCTGCATCGCCAGCTGCCCCCTTTTCGCCATCGCAAGCTCGAGTCGCCGCTCGAAGTCCACCCTCTCTAATTGGAGCTGCTGCTTCAGTATGCGTGTCTGACGCTCTAGCAACACTTTATTTTCACGCGTTACGCGCTCTAGCTCCTCCTTCTTAGCTCTAAGCACCAATTCAAGCTTTTCCTTCGCCGCCTTTCGTTCTGCAGCCCGTTGCTCACGCTCCCTCTCCATCCGCTCCTCGTACCATACTCTAAACTCCGCTCCCGTCAGTCCCATTTTATCCGCCAACTCAATTAACTCCCACGTGTTCGTCATCGTGTTAACCGCGTCAAAAAAATCTACTGGAAAACAAACGACTTTGTCCTGTCGCGGACGCCAATTTGTGATGCAGGGTTCTTGTTGCTGATTTGTTTTTCTCCCGGGCTGAGGCCTCAGAGAGTTTGTTAATAAGGACAAAGCCGTTCGGTTTCAAGAAACACACAAAAAGTTTAATTGAAAAGTAAAAAGGGCAAAGATTCCTCACAAAACAAAACACTTAATAAACAGTTGACTGGACATGACGAAACAATCTGTAAACACCCAACAAGAACGTTCAAAGTCAGTAACTAAACCTAACGTTCGAAAGGGGCTGAGTGATGGGAGTAGCGCAAGAGTATCGGTGCAGTCTCACCCACAAGTTGGTTTTCGGCGGTGATGAGAAACCGGAACGCCGTGACTCCTGCGTCAATACGTGGGCTGGACAGGACGAGGGAACGCTGGCTGCTGGCGACACGTCGAAAAGCCCTACCAAATCGTGATGGTTTCGGCTTGAGGAGCGTGACACGTCGGAGACGGGAGAACGCAGGCTGGTGGCGACGCGTCCGGGAACTAGGGTCGACCTAGTCAAGCAGCTGGGCGCAACAGCTCGGGCCCGGAGCCCGACGGCTGTAGCTCGCCTGCCGGAACCAAGGTCCGCAGGCCCTGGAAAGGAGTTTCAGGACCGGATGGCCACGGTCCTTTGGAGCGGAACCCGACAGCAGGAGGCCCCGGCCGGTGGAAGTCCTGTAGGCTCGGGTTCCGGAACCCAACGGCCCATCTTCAGCGCCCGGTCCGGTGACGACCTTCCGCTTGCACTGCCTGCCTCGAATTCCCCTTGCTCTGGTCCCCCCCAGGCTCCTGCTTCAGCTCTGGCCCACTTGTCTCGTTCTCATTGGAGATACTGCTGTTTCGTGGTGTCAAGCCATTGGGCCTTGAAATCTCCGTGTTCGCTGCCCATTGGATGTTTTAACCTTTTGTTTACTTCACGTCCTGCCACGCATCCTCGTGCTTGACGCCTTTTAACGTCGTCATTCTTGTTTAAGCAGCACCGCACGTGCACTCTGGTATTTCTCCTTTTGTTTTTTTTTTTTCCGTGACGCGCACTTTCGAAGGCGCGCACTTTGAACGCGCACCACACATCAACATGCTAGAACGTCCGAGAACGAACTCGGTTCCTCGGTTTCCGACCTTTTTCATACGGCCGCAGTGTGCTTGCGTGGCAGCCTGCGTGCGTCATCGTAGGTTTTTTTTTCTTTCTCGGACAGTCCAGCTAAGCGCGTACGAGGCGGGGCCGGCGTAAAATGCGTCGTAGAATTAAGGTTTTCAATACATTAGTTCTTGGGGGTTTCGCCGGGACCAAGCAATTCGTCGTAAAAACGCGGGTCGTCGCAGGGACTGGGGGACGTATAATCGAAGTTCTATACTGTATATGGTGTGAGAGTGTAGGTGCAGCTCACCCTCTCCTTGTGCCCCACTCCCACACCCTCTCCCATCCACTCATGAAGATGTTGGCCTCACTGTGGACCTTTTGCTGGTTGGTCACCTCTCAAAAACATTCGGAAATGTGCGCTCGAGATGCTGGCCCCCCAACGTGTCATCCGCTTGCTCCTCACTCTCGACCATTCACTGGCTGGGGCGCCTTTCAAGGCAATGGCAGAAGTCGGTAAAGGCGAATGTCACACGGCAACGGTACCCTCTCTTGGCGCAAGAAATGCATTCGCATTTCCTCTCGATTCCCTTCGCGGAGGTGAGGGCATTTTTTCTTTCACGGTTGGTGTAGGTTTAAGCCACAACTTCTCGGCTCACTTGAAAGGCTCATTTGACTAGATAAAGTAACCACGCAGTGTGTTGGTTGGTCTGGCGATAGACCTAGATATCAATCAATGTGAAAACTCAACCATACAGTTTTCTAAAGTTAACTAGAGGGGACTCTGACACTGCAACCGTTGAGCAACTATGGGAATGATGGGTAGTACACGGATTTGCCCAACGTTTATAGATAATTTTTCAGTTTCGCAACTCCCTGCTTCGCCTACAGGGAACAGGCGGCTGGCTGCAGTACCCGCCACCATGGCGCTGCGTTTGTGCCAACCAAACGAGGGTAATCTGCTACAGCTAGGCGCGGGGTAGCCAGTGAGCAGCATGCACACAATTTCATGTTGAGAGCACCGCATGGCGACTTCTTGATTTGGCACGGGGAGTAGAACGTCAGGTCTAGCCTAGATGCGTGTGCGGAGTCTTTCCTGGTCCTTGGTAAAAATAACAGTACGCGTAGTGTTAGGCGAGCATTTGTCGATTAAAGAGCCGTTTCGACGCCCTGTAACTGCTTGATATTCCAGATAGTAGAAACAAAATTTGGAGCTCAATTGTATTTGCCACATCTCAACAAAGGCTCGGTAAAAGCAGAGACTCATCTGGTGCCACCTTGCTTGTTTAGAAGTCTTGGGAAAAAGGTCTTCGACGCTGCGCACATCAACTTTGCCCAGCGATAAAGACTTCAGTGGGCCGTACCCTGAACGAAGTTGAAACCGAGCCATTGACGTTAAGGTATCAACTACGTATAAAATCACACTGAAACGACGCTATTTCTCTATTCATCTGGTATAAACCAGTGAATTTTCTTCTGAAGTATTCAGATTTATGGCTGTCTATCACTGGACAATACTTGGGATCATAAAAAAATGCAAATCTTGTGAAAATGGGAAAGCATCAGTGCATTGACACAAGAACGTTTGCCTCGATCACACACTAGTCAAGAGCATTCGAATTTCAATAAAACGAATAGCTGAATTCCTGTAACAATTCAGACTTGTGAGCCGCATACAAAGCACGAGCTGATCTGTTGTGTACCCATAACCATTTGCTGATTTTGCTTCTTGAATAATGATGGATGTGCACTCGTTGACAAAATAAGTTGGGAGGTACGAGCGACGACCGCAATCCGATAAAACTGCATTGCCGCGCCATCTGACGTGGCAATTGTGTCAACAAGCGGGGGAAAAAAAATGTGGGGGAGCAATCAGATTTGCTGCCTGGTTTTCCTTCCACCTTTGCAGCCTGGAGAGGAGGTCTTGCCCGCTTTAGGCATTGCCGCCTCACCGCTCTGGCCACCCCACATTCGGTGTGAATGAGCTTTTACAATGCGCGGGGGCATGTTATGAATTTGGACTTGTTGTCCAAATTGTTGTCCAAGCGACAGCATAAACCCTCCAAGAGTGAACATATAAATGCTACTGCAACAAGGACGCAGTTTTTACCGCTAAATAAGTGTTTATTGTTTAGCTCTACCTTCAGTTCTCTTTTGTTCAATTTGCGAGTTTGTTTTTTCAATTTTTGTACTAAGCCTGCATATAACGAAATCCTCTTTATAACGAATTTTTCCGAAAATTTCGTTATATTCAAGTGTAACTTCTTGCCGTGGAACATCTGAAACGAAGAAGCGGTGCGCATCGAGCACTGCCACTATAAATTCGATATTTGACACGATATCATCACTTGGTGCTTCAGCGACGGCTGCAGAAGCGATTTTTCTGGCATTCCAATGTGGGCACAATTAAAGGGAGCGAAAGCACAGGCTGGAAGGTAGAAAAGAACGCGCTTAAGCAGTGCGCGCTCTCTAGCTTTTCCAGTAGCCGTGAAGGCGTCATGGGGCTGTTCACCATGTGCTCCCGTGGTCTCCAAAATTTTTATCACCACAGTACATGTACTTCGTGTTTTGTCGCTGCCGCACACGATCACACTGACAGAAGCCGTGCATTGAGCACAGCAGTTTTGTGAAACAATAACTAAGGTTGCCCGGTTGTATACTTCTGAAACTTCCAGAGCACACTTCTGTCAGCCGTTGCTCAATAGTGTCGGTACCCAAGTGCGTATGACCAGTCGCGGCGTTGCAAGCTGTTTGTAACATCCAAACTTTGCTGAATGAATGGACAATATAATTGCACTAATTCATATCTGGCCAAAATTCATATCAGCCCAGTGTGTATCACCGATATTCTATTCTACTGTAATTATAGCGAACCCCTTTATAAGAAACAATGCAACAGACAGTTAGAAAGACACCAGTATGCTTACATTGCAATGGGGTTGATAAGAAAATACATACATGGCGCCATGTTATAAGAGACACCTCAATTAATTGAAAATAATTGCTCCCCGGTGCATGTATCCTATATAGTGACCCAACTTGACTACCACAAAGCAAGAGCTTGGTCTACAGCAGTTTTTTTTAGCAACCTACCTGCCAGAGCTCCATTTGAATGGCACTATCCAATTGGACAAGACGTGTCTCCAAATGCATGGCCTGACTTTCAGGGTTATTGAGGTTCACTGAAGTCTGCTGGCTTTGATGTCGGTGGATCTGGCCCAGATGAGCCCGAAGCTACATTGGACAAAATGGGAAAAGAAAAAAAACTGATGATCACTAAATAATGGAGTTTTAATGCCATCTGTGCTTAATTTACTTGAATTTGAATATGCATATATACACACAAAAGTGTAACCTTTACCTGCTCTAACAAACTCTTAGCATGTACCAACACACACAAAAAAAGTCTGATGTGATGGTTTCATGAACCTACAACCGTACGGAAGGCATAAAGCAGCGCTTGAACATCACACACATGCTCTTTCTTCGCTTATAAGGGAGCTAGAAAAGGGTATCCACAAAATAAGGCTTGTGAACAAAGTTGCTAAACATACAGTATGTCTGAATATATGCGGGTACTACAGTAGTAGACTCCATTTAATGGCGATTTGGGAGAGCAGGAGCACCGTCATCCATGAGTAGAGCGAGAGTGCTCTTGCTGCACCGAGAGCAGCCAGGAGCAGTTTGCAGTGCTCTCGCCTGAAAAGCAGAGTAGGTGCAGTACGACGAGTCACGTGGTACTTCAACGTCACAGCTTCCAAATTTTTCTTCAGCCGGCGAGCGCAGCGGCAATGGTAGCAACCATATGTAGTTGGACATCGCTGTTTTGTACGGATTGCTACGATAAGAGCTGGACGTTTGCCGAATGAGTCACTACACAAGCATGCTACGTATTAGGCTCATGAAGAATATGTGGCTGACCGATTTCAAACGTATTTTGCTGCTGCCCCACAAAGAATATGCCGAGGCTTGGAATATCAGCTGCAGGTTGAGTGGTACTCCTCTCAGTGCCCTGCCCCTCCTATAATCTTAATGGAATTCGCCATAAGATGAACACGAAGGGGGCCACGATCACCACTTTGTCTTATCAAAAGTGCCCCCCAAAACCAAATGCTAACATGTCAACTACACCCAAATATGCTGCTTGAAAACACTGAATGAAGTACACTTATGTGGAGGAAAGGAACAAGAAAAAGCATTTACTCGGCTCAGCATGATAAAATACAGTGAAACTCCGCTGTAGTTAGAGGCCCACTCCTGTATGACGATTCGCAACCGCACACGCCCAACCCACAAACTCTTGCTTGGCACCGCCATTTTGATTTGACCTCTCAGTCTTGGCTACGAAACTGGATGGAAGAAGCCACAGGCGAGCTGGAGAGGCCACCACTATGTGGCTATCGAGTCTGGAAGCTATAGCACTATCGCCATCATTATTGCTCTTGCCTGTGCACCACCGGCTCCACTACATACAAAGGAAGGCTTTTTATTGGCTGAGCTTCGCACGTCGAGTTCACTGCTATCATCGTGTCCTGATCAGCCCTGATGGCGTCACGCAAGCGGAAAGCGCTTTCCTTTGCAGAGAAGCTCGACGTGCTTCGCGCAGTCAACAAGCAGCCAGCGTGAAAAAGGGTCGACATGGCCAAAGATCTTAATCTGCCACCGTCGACATTTAACGGCATCATCGCGAAGCGTGCGGAGAGAGAGGAAAACGTGGTGCTCTTCAGCCCAAAAGCCAAGCAGGCTCGTGGCGCCAAGTGCAGGACGCTCTACGAGACCCTTCTCACTTGGTTTAGACAAGCTCGCACCGCCGGTATTAATTTTGACGGCACCATTTTGCATGAGAAGGCGATGGAAGTAGCTGACAGACTGGGCATCACCAAATTTGCTGCGTCAAATGGATGGATAGACCGTTTCCGTAAGAGGCACAGTATCGCTTAAGTGGAGAAGTGGAAAGTGTCAACATCAAAGCAGTAGACTATTGGAAATCGACACTGTCATCTGTTATTGAGGGGTACGAGCCTCGCGACATTTATAACGCTGACAAAAGGGGCTTTTTTTCCGGGTACAGCCATCCAAATTGTTAAGCCTAAAGCATGAAGCTTGCCACGGAGGCAAATGCAGCCAACACCGGCTGACAGTGCTCCTGTGCTGAAACATGGATGGATCAGACAGACTGAAGCCATGGGTGATAGGCAAATACCAGAACCAGTGGTGCTTGAAGAACATTCGCCTACTGCCATGCCACTAAAGAAGTAATCGCCGTGCATGAATTTTTCTGCGCTACTTTGATAACAAGATGGGTGGCCAGAACAGGAGTGTTATTTTCCTGGACAACTGTGCTGCCCACCCGAGAGATCCATTTCTACGGAACGCCAGGCTTGTGTTTTTCCCTCCAAACACTACAAGCCACTTACAGCCGCTGAATGCCGGCGTCATAAAAAGCCTAAAGCATTTGTACAGAAAAAGCATTGCGAGGCACTGTCTTGCGTGTATTGATAGCGGACAGCAGCCTAAGACAATTTCCGTACTTGACGCCATGCACTACGTCGTTTCAGCGTAGACTGCAGTGAACGCGTCAACTGTGCAGCACTGCTTCGCGAGGTGTGGCTTCCGTAGGAACCGCGAACTAGACAAACCAGAAACCGCCTCTTTTAAACAGGAGCTGACCGAGGCTATGAATGCGCTGGATGCCATAGGAGTGGCCTGCGACGAAGTCTCTGTGGGTGCTGCCCTCGTGACTCCGGAGTGCCAGAGCATCACAGAGATCGCCGCAGACTGTCGCAAGTGAAGCTGGCGACTCCGGTGACTATGACGAGCCACAAAAGTCTGGGAAGTTGGCAGATCGAAGTTTTGCAGAAGCCGCCGCGGCCCTGGACAAAGGTGCGATGTACCTTTGAGGTACATCGCACCTCAAAGCGACACCGAGAGTAACGGAGCATTTCACGTTAATGCACAGCACGTAGTACTCTCCAGCGAACGTAAGAAGCGGCAGTCAAGCATGCTCGTTTTTTTTTTTTTAAAGCTTGTTGAAATAAACTGTTTGAACTCAACGCAGCGATGTTTTTATTATTTTTGGAGCTTTCCTCACTCTACTCTAGTGTTTTCCCGACTGTTAAGTTTTTTTTGCCCGGTTCGCTGGAAAACATAGGAATGGAGTTCCACTGTATATGCTTTCAAGTAGAGTATTTAGGCTACTCTAAAAAGTACTTAATTTCGAGAGTTCATATTAAATATAATCATAACTAAATTGCTACCATATTTTAACACTACAAACGTAGCACTATTTGACAATTTTGGACAACTATTTTGACAATTAGAAAAAGATAAAAGGAGAGACAAACAGAATTTTCTTTCAAAGATTGAAAAATTTATTCTGCTGACTGTTCACCCTCCAAAAGGCTGTTTTATGGCCTTGCTATCACTTTCGCAAGTGCCTGCATTGCATACCGCTACCTTGACAGAGCCAGTAAACGCCAGGTTGCTTATGAGAGTCTGCAGTAAACGCCAGGTTGCTTATGAGAGTCTGCAAAATTTTCTTTGGGGTTCAGATATTTTCTTATTTTCAACCAGTAGTAACTTTTCCTGAACGACATGCCGCTAAAAATTTCCGTTTACACTGCTCACAATCACAAGTTTCGGGCACACAAAAACGCTATATTTAGTGTGCTATATATCTTCCTTTGTCCCTTCCTTCCTTTGTCACGCACTTTCATAATGAAAATGGTGCCTCACAATTTGCTGCATTTCTCTGCGACCTGATACACAGCACACAGGCCCTATGCAGAACAATGAGAACTGACCACAGCATGTGTTCAGGCACCATTGCGTCACGGCGATGACAATGCATCAGACTTCTCTGGTGGGAGTGCTAGTGCCACATGTGTGGTTTTCGTTTCATGTAATTATAATTAGCAGACAATCTTTGTTCCAGTATTCATTTTCATATGGCTTTTTTTCTCTCCTCTTTTTGTTTGCATTTTCCTTTCTGAACGAGCTCTTGCATTCTTCTGATCTCCACTGATATTCTGTTGGAAAACTGATGAATACGAAGAGCATCTGAAACGACTAACATTTTTGTTTCTTTGCTGATAAAGCTGGCCCTTTCTCCACCTACAGGCTATGGGTGAGGGAGATACTACCTTTATAGGCTGACCTTTCGTTTCCATTGCCTCGCTTTGTCCCACAATGTCGAAATTAGCTTTCATTTTGCTTTCAGTCTGCACCAGGAAGTGCGTATGTCCCTGCACCCATTTTGCTTTCTCTTGATCACCTGAAGGCCCCCATCAAGACTAAGTTTGTTGCACAGAATCTCGGTCATTGGTTGCATAACAAAAGAGGCTTGTTACGAGATTTGTCTTAAGCAGATTTTTTTTGCATTGAGTCTATGGGAAACCAAACAAACACTCCCGTGTTGTTCGTGTTAAGCAAGAATTCATCAAGCAAGAACACGCAAAAAACAAGAGGTGGAAGCAGGCTTCAGTCGTTTGGAGAAGGAAAAATGCTGTTTTGGAGCAGCTTTGGAGCAGTAAAATGGGTATTTCAAAGCAGCTTTGGAGCACCAAAAGGAGTGTTTCGAGCAATGCAAGTCAGTTTCGAAGCAAATTTCTAGGGTCACACAGCACTGCTAAGGCTTGTCTATCTAGAAACACACACGAAAAAATTCGAGCAGTTAAAACATTAAAATGTACATCTAAGCAGTGCTTTGGGTAGCTATTATAGACCTCAATGAATGAAAAACGTTATTAAATGTCGAAATGTTAAAAAATTTATTAACACACTGCACCCTATATAAACAGCAGCTGATCACCACAGATGAGCTAATAAAAGATAATTTCATTTAAACCCAACTATCCTCATCACTCTGAGCACAGGCTGTCCTAGTGTACAGCAGGACGGAAGCTTCGCCCAATGATCTCCAGTTAACCCTATCCTGCGCGAGCTTTCTTTTTTATCCCTTTGAACTTCCGAGTTTCATCGCTCGATCTAACCCCCTGCCTTGTCCTACTGTGTGTTGCATAACTTGGCGACCAATGGTTTTATGCTCTATGCATTATGTGAACAGGTCTTTTTTTTTTTCATTGATGCCAGCTAGGGTATGTGCACCTCCTGTCTGTTCTCTTGCCCGTTCTGCCGTCCTACGATCTTTCAATGTTATTTCTTTCATTTCATGCTCCCAATACCACTTTGTGAAAATTTATTGCAAAAACTTATGCACAGGACATGCCATAGCTGGGCCCGTAGGCAGGAATATTTTTTGCATAGGAAGGGTGGGGGACACCTGCTGAAAGTTTTGAAAAACTTGTATTTTTTTACTATTTATTCTCCGTAAATCACCCTCTTCAACTTGGGGGGTGGGGCCTTTCCCTCCCCAGGGCTGCGGGCCTGGCCATGACCGAAATGAGAACAACAAAACAGATAGCAATGTGCTGTTTTCTAGGCAAATAGCAATGGCGCGGCAAGTGTTTTTTTCCATTGCGATGTCCGACGTGCTTTTGCTGCTGTCGTCATTTTCCATAAAAACTAGAAGTTCCCACCATCCCCATAGCATTTTGTGTTTGCTCAAGGAAAGCTCAAACGAGCTGGCCCATTTGAGTTGCTTAGAAAGCAGCACATGCGACAACATCCTGCGGTCTTGACGGGGGGATGTTCTCGCAAAAACGAGTAGGGAAAGACATGACCGGGGGGGGGGGGGGGGTTGCTCAAGCAGCAGCTGTGCACTTTTATTCTAAGGATGTGGTTGCGATTGCTGGCTCGTGCGCTATCTGGGCAAGCATCAGTAAAGGGATCGTACACTTTTCTACGTGCCGCGCTCTCAACACGAAGAGACTATGCAAAACGATCATTTCTCCCGGGAACGGCGGTGCAGTCGCCGACCGTTTATTCGGACATCTTTGTGGCACCGCCACTCGCTCCATTGATCCTAATGTAAACTCCGACCGAAAATTCGGACGCCCCGCTGTGCGCCATTCGATTATTCGGACTCTGTTCAACTTACTGCATGTGTCGCTGTACGCCGTTACGCGCTGACAGCAACGTTGACAATACGTTTGCTAGGTTGCCAGCACTGATATGCTGCACTCGCTATAGATGAACGTCAGGCCAGTGTCAAAATGCATGCAGCAATTGCCATTGCCGATCTCAAACGCTATGTGTAGCGACACGTTTTTTTATTTTATTTTACCCAGTCGAGCGGCCAAGCCAAGCCACCTACGGAGTCCGTTTGCTGTGGCGTTTGGCATGTGTCAGCGTGTCAATCAGTTGCTTCTGCGGCTAGGCCTGGTTCGCTTTGTTATCTGTGTTCTCGCTCTTTTGCGTGTTCCGTGGCGTGCTGAAATGACTCAGACGCCACCCGTTGCTGCGCCGTCGGTAGCACAAGAAACGTGGCCAACGTGAGAGCTAAAAGACGCTCACGATGGGAATTTTCTATTTCCAAGCAAACCGTCTCGGACTAACTAAAGCAGAAGGCTAAGATCCTGGAGGCAGCTGAGAAAGCGTCTGCGGGTACGCAGAAAAATTTCCGGGACGGCAGCCACCCGCATTGAAGAGGCGCTGAACATGTGGTTGAGTGCTAGGGTGGCTAGGAAAATAACCGTGTCTGGCGATCTGCTGAGACAGAAAGCAGAGACACTCGCCCTGCGCATGGGTATTACCGGCTGCAAGTTCAGTGACTGCCGGTTGCGCAACTGTAAGAAAAGGTACGACCTGGCCTTCAAGCGAATGTGCGGTGAGAGTGGTTCGGTCGACCAAACACTCGTGACCAACTACCACGCCGACAAGCTGTGCGCACTGCTGCGCCAGTATCCACCAGAAAACGTCTTTGTGATGAGACCGGACTTTTTATTAAGATGCTGCCCGACAAGACGCTAGCTTTGTCTGGTGAACACTGTCATGGGGGGAAGCACAGCAAGGAGCGACTGACAGTTGTTGTAGGAGGCAACATGACGGGGACAGAGAAACTTCCGCTCCTCGTGATAGGGAAATCAAAGAATCCGAGATGTTTTAAAGGCGTGAAAAATCACTTCCTGTGTCGTATGAAGCGAATTCGAAGGCGTGGATTACGCAAAACCTCTTCAAACAGTACCTTCGCAAGCTCGACCGCCGGTACGAACTGCAAAATCACAAGGTGCTGATGTTCGTCGACAAGTGCAGTGCCCATGGGCATATCGACAACTTGAAAGCTATGACAGGGGAGTTTTTGCCGCCTAACACAACAAGCGTGTTGCAGCCAATTGACCAGGGCGTCATCAAAAACTTGAAAGCTAACTATCGGTCGCGCCTCCTGAATTGGATGCTGTTATGCATCGACAGTGACAAAAACTACGTCGTGGATGTTCTGACAGCCAAGCCATCAGCATGTTGTCCGATGCTTGGAAGTCAGTGACTCGGGAAACGATCCACAACTGCTTCCGCCACGCAGGATTTATAACTGGGACTGAGGAGGACAGTGCCGCGCGATTGAGAGTCCGCCTACTGCAGCAGCAGACATTTTGGACGACCTCCGTGCTAGCGGGGTCGATGTGGGGGTGGGTACGTTTGAAGACTTCGTCAACTTTAACAGTGTCGTTTTGCCTTGCGCAGAGTTGGACGATGACGAAATCGTCCGTCAGGTCTGTGAGCCGGCGCTTGCGGACAGTGACTCCGACGATCACACGCCGCCTGCACCACAACCATCAAATGCGGACTTAGCGCAAGCCATATCGATGCTGTTGTCTGTCTACAGCGGCGGCCAGATATTCGCAGAGGTACAGGCCGACGTGATCGCGCGTAAGCGTGCGTCTGTGCAGACACGCATAGACATTTTTTTCGGGCGATCAGGCCTATAAAAGTGCTTTTTTTACCAAATCCGTTTTTTCGGACTCTTGATTATTCGGACTTTTCGACGGTTCCTGTCAAGTCCGAATAAACGGCCGGCGACTGTATTCTCTTACAGCGTTCGTAGAGTTAGGAGATGCCGGATCTAATAAAAGCTGCCGCCAGCCTTACTACGTACAAGATTGAAATTTGATGCTATTGCACTCATTGTTGCACCCTGGCAGTGAAACTGGTTTTGTGTTTCTTTCGGCTTCTATGATTTGACTGTCTGCATCACAGAGTGCGTGTAGTGCGTCGTACACCTCGGTTGTTGATGCTGGGAGTAGCTTCCTACTGTCAAGATTCTTTGTGTCGGTGTTAGGCCTCGGCTAACGCTTGTTGCGGTAGCGCCGGTAGTAGCTTCCCGTCTGTTGCAATTCTGCTGCTCCGACTTGATGGCGTGTGCCCGCGGCAAACACCGTGCCAAAACACTTCAGGAAAAAGCCGATATCATGCGGGAAGTGGACGCCGGACTCTTGCCTAATCAAGATATATCGCGAAAAAGCATGGGATACCGAAAACGACGCTATCTACTTATATAAAAAATAGGAGGACTATTGACGACGCCTTAGAGGCAGAAGTTGCGAGCAAAAGGAGGAAGGAGGTTGCGGCCCGCGAAATATCCTGACCTCAAGAAAGCGCTTCTCATTTGGATGAAGGAAATGAGTTCGCAGGACATACTACAGAGTGGCCCAGTCATACAGGCCAAGTTAACGAACTTCGCTGCTTCAGATGGGGGTTGCACCGTTTTCGCGAGCGTTACGACCTCATTTCCCTGCTGTGTTGGGTGAAATGAACGCCGTCAACATGGCAACATGTGAAGGTTGGCGCTATGAAGTGCTTCATTTTCCGCAGGACATAATTAATGCAGATGAAACGGCCTTATTTTTCAAAGTGCTGCCCGCCAAAACTATCACGTATAAAGGCAACAAGGGCACGGGAGGGAAGAAAAGTAAAGAACGGATAACTGTGATGGTTGCAGCAAACATGACCGGGACCGAGAAGTTGCCTCTCTTTTTGATAGGCAAATCGAGAAGTCTTCGCTGCTTCAAGAGAACATCCGGTCCCTCCCATCAGACTGGGGAAGCTTCACAAGAAGTTCAAACATTGTGGCCGCGAAGTCCGGCTTCTTGTGGACAACTGTTCGGCTCATAAAGTCAATGTTGAGACTAAGGCCATTGACTAAGGCCATTGAGCTGGCCTTCCTTCCAGCAAACACGACAGCAGTACTGCAGCCCATGGACCAGAGTATATTTAGAAATTTAAAATCATTTTATCGGGATCATATGTTGGAATGAATTATTTCATGCAATAACTGCCAAGTGATGCTCCTAAGTGCACTACACATGCTTGTGCGTGCTTGGAAGCGAGTGACAGCGCTTACGATAGCAAATTGCTTTCGCCGCTGTGGCTTTAGCACCAAAGCTCTGCAAGCTGACGAGCCACCAGTGCTCGAACACGGCGTCATCGACCCCATGGCGAACGTTTTGGAAAACGCCTGCTTTGCGGACACGTGATTGTGGACTCAAGTGCAGTGGTGTGTGGTGCAATCACGGATGGCGACAATATGTCAGGTGAGAAGTGCAGAACCTGACACTGCCAGTGACGATGATGAGGAGGAGGACGAAGCACCAGTGCGGCCCTCTGCTGCGGAAGTCATGGCCGGATTGAATGCCGCCAGTCTTAAGTTTTGAAGAAGGCGAAGAAGAGGCCTTCCGCCAAAGTGCTGGCTGTCGCCCTCAAGGAAAGAACGCACATTGCGATCACAGTTTTTTTTTTTTTTTTTTCAAAAAATAAATTGTTATGCCCTACTCGCTGTGTACTATTGTTCTTCACTTTCGTTAATTCAAACTGAGGCGGCTTCCATTCGCGGTTCGAATTAACGAGCTTTTACTGTAGCAGTCTTGATAACAGGATACAAGAATTTTATTCGCGTGGTGCAAGATTCATGCATGGTGTTAAGTTCACGCCAGATGGGAGCACTATGCTCCATGATACGACGTAAACAAACTACACGGAATATGGATATTACGGCATCTTTTGCGTATTCAATGCGTAATGCTTGGTAGAAGATAAAACTCTGCCAAATTTGGCACAGAACATGCAAAGTGCCATTTGTGTGCAGCACTTGCACACCTATATAACCAGTAGAGCAAGTCGTACAGGCCAACAGTGTCAACTGTTATCCTAAAAGGAAAACAAAATTTCAATAGGCCAAACACTTACATGATCGCAAAGTTTGCGGAATTCAGTCTTGCGGCTGTACTTGAGGCAGAACTTGAAAGCCTGTCGTGCAATGTCATGATAGAGAGATTCCACACGCGAGTTATTACGAAGAAGCTCCAAGCACTGACGATAGGACTCCCACAGAAACTTCACCCATGGAGTGAGGACAACGCGATCAGTGCGATCTTGGGTGTCTTCACTGCTGACCGCACTCAATAACAAACTGGAAAGAGATTCGCTTGAATTAGCAACATGATCTGGCACCTTCAAGTATAGCAAGAATGAAACAAAACTGAAATATTCACTTGGAATTTCCACTATGCCTAGCGTTGGCATTTCTAATGTGTTAGCAGTTGGCATCGGCATGTTCACGTGGGGAGGCTACCATACGATACCAACTTTCGTTTTTGATATATCGCAATGAAATTTTCAGGATATATTCATAGCAAAGCCACTAGAACTACTACAAAATTTCATGAAGTTATGTTCACTGGTTTTCAAGTTACGACAATATGTCAAAATAGTGCACATGGTTCTCATATTCCAGGCCTGCAGAACTTTCAAAAGATGCTAGAACTGTGAAATTAACTATGACGATTCCCAGATTGATACATCAGGGGGTGACAGAACCTTTTTTTCTGAATATCCTTGCTGAAAAGTTTTAGCCGACCATCAAATTTAGTGTTGGTGATTAGGATATTACCAATCAAATTTCGATTAGGTATCAAATAACAGACAATATATAAAAAAAATGGGCTTGTCTTCCCCTCAAAAATTTATTCATGCAAATAATCCGAAGCAATGAATGTGACAGCAACAACTTAGAATGTTACGCTGAGAATGGCAAGCAGATCAAAACGTGCAGCGCACTGATCACGCACAAATAACGCACAAAAACAACATACACCGGATGAGAATGAACTAACAACATTTACAGCTCGACACTTAATGCACTGTTAAAACAAAAACGATGCACGAAATATAATCGCAAGTACAAATGAGTGCAAACTAACAAGTGTCCCAGTTGTTATACGCTAAAGCCTTGTTTGGAGGTTACCATCCCTCTATCGGACATGGTATACGGTGTGCAAAATTCTGCGGCCTGAATGGCACCGACAACAGTGCACGTACCGCAACACCGTTTGTCCAGCTTCAACAAGAAAAGATGGCGAGAGTACTGCGACCAAATCGAACACACCGCAAACAGCTTGTGGTAACGTGTGCTAACTAGCCTTCGTGCGCAGTGCTCAACCAAGTCCCAGCAATCGGGTGTGGTCCACTCTTGCAGAGATGTCGTCCTCCCTGACTACATTCATAACACCCTAGCCCTATGTCCAAAGTTCGCTGTCGACCAAGAGAGGTCCGCACTCGAGCTTCTTTCAATTGTGCGCTCTGTTGCTGGCCGTGCCTCACCAAAGGATTCGGACAGATGCATCTCGGAAGGCGTCGACATGCTCCTATGGGGTGTAAGCCTACCAGCACCAGACTTCTGTAGCGGAAGACCACCAAGTTTCTGAGAGACGAACTTTGTGTCGTGCCGTCAGATATGGAGGGTGGTTTCGCTGTTCTTAATTGCTTGTCTCTAGAAAAGGCGGTCACAGCTATCTGCTGTTTTCTAAAGTTGTACCGACATTCGTCTAGATAGAGTAAAAACGCAAACCAAGGAAATCTGTTGTAAACTAGAGTTGAAACAGTTAGCTCAGCATATTAGTAAAAGCGACAAAAATGGACTCAGCATGTTTTTTTTTTGCCAAAACACATAAAGCCGAATGCCCTTCCGAGTCGTTGTGACAGAAAGTGGAACGTGGCAAAAGCAACTCTGCTTGTTTATTCAGACCCATCTAAAGTGTCTAAAGATTGATGACCCATTTCTGATAAACTCGATGGCACTGATAGAATTTTTCAAACAGTCAAATCAAATTAATGTTTTCGGTTTTTCAATTGACATAAAGGCCCTATACTATACTCACTGGCTCACGATGAGGTATTAGAATGTATAAGGGACAACATAGAAGTCTTCGCGGAATTGAACTTCCAATTGAAAACTGGCATCAGTGTGCGAGATTTCTTTTACCTTGGTTTGCTGTACCTTACCTTTACATTCGTTCAATGGAATCATTGAACAACTACCGAGCATTAGGTGGCGTGCACGCAAGAATTTGTCACCACTATCATCAGCATGATTAGTGCGTAGCACCGGCGGTGACGCCTAGGTGGTGGTTGCCGTGAATGGTGGTCTCTAGCGGAGGGCCTGCTGTGGACGGCACCGCAGGCTGTCTGCCCGCGGGCCCTCGTGGTGAACCAGAATTTGGCGAAGCCGCCTCGAGTGTGTTATGTTGTTCAGTGTTGTGTAATTTTGTGTAAGGCTGTTTTAGCATGTTGAGCACAATTGATATATAATTTATACGGCTCAGAATGAGTGCGTACGCGTCACTACTGAATTGCATGATTTGACAGCTGTGACCTCCCGAAGCACCCAGGCGCAAGAAGCAGACACGCTCTCCCAGTTCGGCTAATAGCGAGGCATATTGGAGCAACACGGCGAACATGCCTATTCAGAGGCTTAGAGACGACCTTCAGACAACATTTGCTTATTGCTCACTTGATTTTAACAAGAGGAGCCAGCTGAAGTGCGAAATTCGAGCATGGAGAACCCTCTTTCCAACGAGTCCAAAGCAACATTGCTCAGTCACGCCATCGCGTAGTGATGACTTGAAAAATAGGGTGTTTTCTCGCAACAATTCTCGCTACTTTGGCAAGTGCAACAAATATTTAGAAGCACTTCTAGGCAGTTTTCAGTGGAGAAATTTTGGAATTGGATAGAAGGGCTGCAGAAACTGAAAATGTGATTTCTTGGCTTTTTTTCGCTCTACGAAAGCTTCATCCCCCTTAAGCAAGATGCTACTCTGAAAGATTAAAAAAAAAATTATTTTACATAGGCTTTCATGCCAACTTCAGATACTGTATATCGCTGATTGTGTGGCGGCACAAATTTTGAAATTTTGTCTAGATAGTAGTTATGGGCAGTGGAGCATGTACTCACAGAATCATTTTGAGGGTCTCAACTTCCTACCGATACAATTCCTTGCTGGCATTTATCAAGCATGTGCAGTTTCTTTCGAGACTAAACCCGGGGACCGAAGTTGGAGGTGCACTCCAGAGTAGGGCACGCCGCTTTGTCCGCACCGTCGATTTCTTCCAGCTGTTCACTGCGCATTTGACCAGCATGATCTGCGACTACATCAACAAATATGCATGGATGCACATTTTGAAGAGGCAAACGTATGCGAAAAGAGACGATTTGTGGAGGAACTTCAGTCCTGACCAAGTGATGAAGTGCATTGGAATCCTCATCTACATAGAAAATGTTGAACTGCCTAGGCTTCATCTCTAGTGGAATGCCTCAGAGTTATTTACAGGTCTCATTCCTTCAACAATTATGCCAAAAACAGTTTTTTTTTTTTTCATTCCCTACTTTTACAAGTGTCATGGACTGAGAGCACAGACCCTGTCCCCGATGGCAAGTTGCACAGGATAACCCATATACTGCTACACCCTTGCTAACTTTTTTTTGTGTGTGGAAAGTTTTTGGCAATAATTTTTCGAAACGTGTACAACTTTTTTGCAACATAAGAAGCTTTAAATTGTATATCTTGAATTACTTTAAGCTCATTATTTTTATGTTATCTTCCTTTTTATACTGTTTTGCCAGCGCCTGTCGGTCTCTGGCAACATTGTGCATTCACCAAAAAAATACCCCCGGAAACTTCCAGTTTAGCTCGTTTTAATGCGGTTTTAGCCTTCATTGCTGGCCGCGGCTGCTTGTGTTTCGATGTTATATGCGGATGAAATTATTCTGATGAAGCGCTCGCAACCCGGGCACAGCTGTGTCAAGCCAGGATGCAGTCTGCAAGCCTAAACTAATTTCAGATGCTAATGAAAACGTTCTGTTTTACGAACCATGATGATAGAAAGAACACCTACATTGCAGTAATCACGCAAAAAAAGCTGGATTCCCACAAAGAACACGCAGGTTCTGCCGCCTTCATAAAAACGCAATACAAGTCTCGGAGCTGACTAATGGTACAGAGGGGATACTCGGACGGTAGACCAGTAGAGGGCCCCCAGTTACTGGGAACGTATCGGTCACTGTCGTATTCCACTCGTAGCAGATGTGTGTACCGACGTCTAAAATGGGTAGCACTACGTAAAAGCTAACACTTAAAATCTATTGCAAAGGTGTTTGAGTGACAACATTGATGTGTATACTGTTCCAAGCAATGTGGGACACTGAGCAGCGTGCTCACCATGAATCGCGCATAGTGTATGTCGCGGTGTCCACGTTTTGTCGTATTCATTTTTTGGAAAGCAACACCAGCAAGTGGGCTCTAATATGTGTGAGCAAATGACATCGCTTGTTCATGAATAGTTTAATCGTGAGTAAGCCATTACAATTTGCGTGACCCAGCTGCAGTTGACGTCAGCAGATTTTACAATTTCTCAGTCACATGAACACTTCAGATCGCGAGTGATTCTGATTGCTCCTGAAGTTCCCGGTGTGACACAGGCACAGAAATAACCTTTTAACCTGAGGTTGTGTGCTTAGACAAAAACACAAATATATTCATGGTTCGACAGCAGGCAGGTTTTCAGTTCCAGTCGAAAAACTCAATTGTACAACTTCACTATGGATCAAGCAACTTTTTCTCCTGCATATCAACGATTTGGGTGTGCTTTGAAGAAGCGCACAGGGAAAAGACAGGTGTGCGCTGTCAATTCCCTGTCCGCGCCTACAGAAAGCATAACCACATCGTCGACATGCAGAACCAACTGGCTCAATGAAGGTCGCTGACAAACTTCTGCAGTTTGTGCATTTTCTGTCAGCCACTGTTAGATGTGAAAGAGGCTAGAAATTTTCCATTGGCCATGAAGCATGCACTTCATGCGAACTTTCTAAATAATACGTCTGCATAGTCATTTAGTATTATTATTATTATTCTAGTGCTATTATTATTCTGTGCTATAAGTAGCTATGTTCTGCGCTATGTTTCTTTGTATAGTTCAATCATGTTTTTTGTTTTTCTATTTTAAACATTGTATCCAGGTTGATGTCCTTTGTCGCTGTGTAACCGCTTGCGCAAGTATGTAGGTATGTCACACAATTGGTCCCTCTACTAGCCGGTTAGGCTATGGGACCAAACAAATGTTTGCAACGTTTTTTGTTACATGGATGTGAAAGTTACAATAAAAAAAAAGTAACACGCAGCTGGGGTCCGCGCTCATTAGAACGCCTCGACGAATATTTTGCCCGGTACCTGTCGGCCACGCGAGCCATGCTACCGCAGCAGTGGCCGCGCCTGTACCTCATGTGCGCTACACCGAGCCCCTTCGTGTAGACACTAGATGTCGCTCCAAACACATCCTAAGGAATGCGCCAGAAATAATAGAGCAGCAAACTCAAACACACCACGAAAACATCGCTGGGACCAATTGAAAAAGCATTACCGGAAATGGCGCACCGGAAGTCTTCTGGGGTAGGCCGTTCAGTGCGAGCCAGTTTGTTTAGAAACACCGAAACCGTCTATAGCATTAATTGTACAAACACTGTATAAACTTTTCATTATAAACATTTTTTTCTTGATGTGCGAACTAAGTATATATGTAACGCTTGTATTATTGGGCAGAACATTCTTTTAGCTAGTTTCGTACCAAATAATGTAAACAAGGCACTAGTATCTAGCAAAAAAGGTTTTTTGCACCTAGTAAAAATGGCCCCTTTTCCCGCGGTAGTGAGAGAGTTAAGTTTAATTACAACCTGGATTTTATTTTTGCCATGAAGATAGAAACTGACTGTGAAAGCGAGTAATAACAAGAAATATGTAATTGTGGGAAAAACTTGGTTTTTTTAACAGCATCTTTTCTTAATACCAAGCATTTAGGTACTTTCCAAGCAAGTAACACTCACTCAAACAACCCACTTATTGTTTTTTAGTGAACTATTTTCTATGATACAGAAGTAATAAATATGGTGTAGCCAAGGGGATATAAATCTCAGCTTCTCCACAGCAAGCCAGCTGAAATAGAACTAGACAGGGCCCTGTTGGAACAACAAAGAGCACTTAAATTTGTAACATGTGAAAATTATTGCTCGAACCAAGTAATCTTATGGCTCACCTTTCTGGAGTCTGCACGTTGTCAAGGTCGTCGATGTCAACTACTGCTTGCTGGGATTCTTCGCGAGCAGCCTCAGTTTTCTCTTCAGCCAAGTCCAAGTAGCCACGTACTACATCTTCTAATGATTTTATATTGACCTGTTGAATGAAAGAACACCAAGTATGTATTTTTATTACATGCCTTTTTTTTTTACACGCTATTACATGCTCGGCGCCCCTGACGGCTGGCAGCGGCAACTATTTTCGCACAGGAGCAGTGGGCGGCGCTCGTTTGTCGTCTGCTAGAGTTGTGGCCGCACGTCAGCCTGCCGTGAAGTCAGGCATGACGCTTTGAAATTTGTCCGCAGGCTGCATGGCGAGCTCAGATGGAAAGTAATGGGAGAGTTGCAAGGAAATTGGTTTATCTAACATACTACCTAACTGATATCCTTTTCAGTCATGGGGCCCACATTTCTGGACGCAAACTTCAAGCTGCACTTGCGGCCGCGCTTCAGCTCGTCACAAAGCGTGGCCGTTGTCGCGGAACGTTCAAATAGTCGCTTTCCTTCTAGCTAGAATAAAAATGTCTGGAATGATCTCTAATCAGATTGCTATCACCTGGCCCATCAGTGGGATTACCGTTTTCCTTCTCGTTAGATAAAAAATTGCCTGTTTTGAAAAAGCTTTCCGTCGACGCCAGTTTTCAGCTTACGCACTGCAGCAGACAATCTGCATCAGTGCGCATGAAATACGTGCTCCAAATATGCGATGGTGTGTGGCGTTTAACGTCCCAAAACCACCATATCGCCGTATGGAGGGTTCCGGAAGTTTCGACTACCTGGGCTTCGTTAACGTGCACCCGAACCTCAGAACATGGGCCTACAGCATTTTAGCCTCAATCAAAAATGCAGCTGCCGCAGCCGAAATACGATCCCCGCGACCTGCAGGTCAGCAGCCGAGTACCTTCGCCGCTAGACCATCGCGGCCGGGCCTTGCTCCACAAGAAGACTATTCTTTATAAAGCTATGCTAGAAAAAAGACGGCCGTAAACAAGCCATGCTGCTTTAACCACCAAAATATCGGTTAGGTAGTATGTTGGATGAACCAATTTCCTTGCAACTTCTTTCATTACTTTCCATCTGAGCTCGCAATGCAGCCTGGGGACAAATTTCAAAGCGTCATGCCCGACTTCACGACAGGCTGACGTGAGGCCACAACTGTAGCAGACAACAAACGAGCGCCGCCCATTGCCCCTGCACGAAAATAGTTGCCTCTGCCGGCCGGCAGTGGTGCCGAGCAGACGACACGCATTCCGGTGTTCCCTTTAACAGTGGACCCCTCTGTACCTTCTCTATGCAACCACTGAAAGGAATGTAATCGTAGAGACTCGTAGGTTACATCTGAACTAAAAAATTATGAAATCTTTTATGGAGTTTTTGTAAAATAATAAAAACACTGCTTGCACAACGCCACGGAAGGTGCGTATTGTGTAAGTGGTAGCGTGTTCAACATTCTGCATTATTCTGAGAGCACCTGTACAACAACTGGAAAAATGCAATGTTGGTGCTGCAGAAAATGGACAATAAATAACATACGAATGTGTGCAGGTTCTCCACAAAGGCCACTGTGATGAAAGATTCGAGGCCATGACAACTTTGTCTATCAAATTAGTGCACACAACTTTCGCCACATCCAGCAGAGTTTTCAGGCACGAGTCATGCACCGAACAAGTCAATGAAGGTATAAATTACCTGTTGGCATATGTTTCTGTACTGAAAGAGACCTTCTTTAGCGATGTGACTTTTCTTGAGTTCCACACATAGCTCCAAGTACTGCTGCATAATCGGCTCGTGAACTTTTTGCCATGTTCGATGTTTTCGGCTCTTGATAACATCATAAAGAGCGTCCAACGCACGATGTTTCTTTCCGACATCGATGAATTCTGCAAGAGAAAGAAGCCGCGTTTGTCAAGCTCAGTGGCCCACAAAAAAGCCAGCAACCAAGTAAGCCACAAGCGTACGTACAGTCAACCACAAAAGTTTGCGGACCACGCGAGCACGTGCCAAACTGCCTATCTGCGCTACCTAGCGGCGACAGGGGCGCTTTCCCGGACATGAGCCTTCGTGGTACTCGCCTGCATGTCAATTTTTCATTCCCGGGCACGAAGTTCGTAGTTCGCTGTCTTAACGCAGAGCGCTGTCTGCGGTAAGACCGCCATATATCTGCTTTGATAGCAGTACTGGAGCAATCACTGCAACCTTTGTCGACTGGTGTGCCAGTGTGTAGGTAAGTTTCACGAATCGTTGCGACGAAGTTTTTACGTGACGTTTACTGGCGCATTTTCGTTAGGCAGCATCTTGATCCAATGAGCATTGCTGCTTCTGCGCCTTGAGAGAAACGGTATGGGAGGTGTTTCACTGTCATCAAAAATAAAGAAAAAGCGGATGCATAGAAAGTTTTTGCACGCATAGGTGCACCTTCATATCAGTTGCTGAAAACGTAGTAGACTTGCTTCAGGGCACGTGGTGATTGCCTATCAGGAAAGATGCCGCTCCCTGTTCCACTGAACGAAAGAAGGCACATTGTGCGTTTATTTGTAGAGAGTACCTCAGCGCGAAATTCGCCGCCGAACCGACAGGAGCCGCATCGCCCTAGACTATTCAGGCTTTCCGCGATGATGGCAGATTCACAGATATGGAGCGCAGTGGGCGTCCAAGGGCTACGACTGATTACGGCCTCCATCGTGGCTGATCCTTTTCAAAGTGCAGAAGACATCCGCGAAGCACTCTCGCTCACGGCATCGTCTGTGAGAAGAAGGCTGAGAGAGCTTGGCCTGCATTTTCGCAACAGCAATGAACGATCGGACAACAGAGAAATGGGGCAATATCACCTTCAGCGACGAGTCAACTTTTTTCCACGCGCTGGGACCAACGGAAGCGGGTTTGGCGTCCACGAAACTGCAGTTGTGTTTACAGTGTATTCGCGCAGATAATTCTACATCACAACATCTTTCACGTAAAATGAGGTTTTGAAAATTAGGAGATTTTTCTGGATGGTATAACATTGAAAACACTAATTTAGCAATTGTTTTGTATTATTACTTACTCTGAAGCTATATTAAAGCTGCCAGTGGGTCTTAGGTATACTATCTAATGATCCTCCCAGTTTTTCTACTGCCAACTCTATAATAGCAGTATACAGTTCACACACAAGAGAAATCTCAGCATTTTTAGAAGCACCGCTGGAACCTAATTGTACGCTATTTCCTGCAGATATCTGCTTAATTACATATAGAGTGTTCTATCCAGCGAACGCTGTTCCATGAGCGGGTGGGGAGCAATCAGCAAAGATGGCCTTGGTCACATTGTGCGTCTGAAAGGGCTCTTCACTGCATCTCGGTACTGCAATGTCATCACCTGACACCTCCTTTCGTATGCGATGGATGGTTCCTTCAGTGACGGCTGCTACTTTTTTCAACACGACCGCAGCCCGGTACATAAAGCACGTGTCATCCAGTCATTGCTAGAACATGCTGTTTGTCATCTTGAGTGGCCTCCGTGTGGCGCCGACTTGAATCCCATCGAAAATGTCTTAAGCACGTTGAAGAAACGGCTGTCCACACGCGACAACCACGGCCGCATGGCCGATACGCTGTGGCAAGCAATCGCACTAGAATGGGAAAGCCTGCGTGGTCGACCAGACGTTAATAAATTTTTGTACGAGTCGATGCCCACAGGCGTCAATGAGGCGTTAAAGAACGGCGGACATTTGACTTCCTACTAGATGTTTGAGATATCTATATTTCATGACACTTTTGCAAATGCCTCGTGAATAAATTTATAAAAAGAGTCATCGCATTATTTCTTTTTACAAATGTAACCACTATGGCAGCGTGGTGGTTCGAGCTTTGGGCAGCAAAACCTGGGCGCAGGCAATCAAACCCCGGCCGCCAATATCACTTAGTGATGGGGGAGGAACGAAAAAATTCTGCCTGCCGACTAAGCATCTGTGTCCCATGGCTGTCTCACCGTTCACTCACGCACAAAAGGAAAAAAAAAAGCAACAGTGTAGTTACGCGAAAATAGAACTGATATAATGCTCTCCAAATATCAGCAAGTAGCCCTGGCTACCAAAGAGCGCGTTACGTTGAAAGGGATAGGTAGAAAATATTTGCGCAGTGCGAAAAACGACGGGCCGTGGATTTAAGGAGGGATGCATCTTTAACGTAGCGCTGCTGTGGATCACTGATGACGTAACGGAAGTGTCGCGAATAGGATCTTGGCCACGCGTGGTCCGCAAACTTTTGTGGCTGACTGTACAAGTAAGGTTAACGTGTGAAACACACGAGCCGAGCTGCGCGACCTCTTTTTTTGCCACGCAGCTCGCTTCGACGGGCGTGAACACGTTTCATCACGAAAACTCCAGGATTAGCTGATGACAAAAAAAATGAATTCGGTTCCAGCGGCATCGAAACTTGACGACACACGCATACTGTCACAGAGGAAAGACAAAGATAAAAAAAAAGGCCATGTATTGAGACATCGTAGTACTACGAAGCAAGAAGGTTAGAAGCGGGAGTCAAACTGGTACCGCAACCGGTAACACGCTAATGGAGAAGGAAAAAAACGTAACGATTAGGCTTCTTAGATCAAAACGCGAGCAAACATTGCAATAAGGTGCCATATGCACCAGCTAAGCTCAACGATTGCAATATGTGATAAAAGAAAAATGAATTCGGTTCCAGCGGCATCAAAACTTGACGACACAAGCATATTATCACAGAGGAAAGAAAAAGATAAAGTCCCTGTATTGTGACATCGTAGTACTACGAAGCAAGGTTAGAAGCGAGTGTCACACCGGTACCGCAACCGGTAACAGGCTAATGGAGAAAAAAAACCTAATTACAAGGCTCGTTAGAACAAAACGCGAGCAAGCATAGCAATACGATGCCATATGCACCAGCTACGCTCAACGATCACAAAATGTCGCGAGCACAGTGAAATATGCGTGTCCGAACTATGCCGGATAACGCCGAGCCAAACGCACGACCCATATTGACGCATGCGACCTTACCTCTCGCTCGCTTAAGAGCATTTTCAGGCCGTTGAAAATACGTCGGCATGATGGATCATACAATTCTAGACCATTAGGAGCTACTAGAGCAAATTGTTACTTATCAAACACGCCAGAAAGGTGCTCCGCTCCTAGAGGACGTCATGCACCGCACACAAAATGGCGAGAAAGGGTCACGTGACAGAGTGCTTGCATTCACTGCGAGCCTAATATTGTTCCCAAACAGAAATGTTGTTAATAATATGAAACATAACAGTAATACACTTTTTTTATTAGTTTAATGATTAAAACATTAAAACAATTACGTTGTAAACAAACCTCATATTACTTAAGTTAGTTATCTGTATCGTTTGTACTCCCGTATGTTAATTGAATAAATTAAAAATATTGTTGAATACTACTAAAATGTTTATTATATTTAAAAGTTATTTCTTAATTTACAGTTAAATTTCTTGCAAATAGTTTTTTTTTGGATGCCTGTACAGAGGGTGTGAACGCGTTTGACAGAAGAGCGCTGTGCCGCGCCCTGCCGTCCGCTGTTCGAGTCACTTTGAACGATAGCTGTTGGGCTCACGTTCGTCTGTTGAGAGACCGACTTCAGCGAAAGTAAGTCAGTCCTTCGCTTGTGGAAGACGTTTCGATATGCAGTTGACTCGCATCACTTGCTCTCTGCTCTCCTTCATCATCAGTTTGAACCTCTTGAAACTAAGTTCAGGCTTAACCGGCGTAGTTTACAAGCTCTCCACAGCGCATATGGGAGAGGGGGAGAATCACTTCAGGTGTGCGGTCGTCTTAGCTTGCGGTCACCACTATCGATGTGGGATTAAGGGAAGCCAGATCATTACACTTTTCTCCATTGTGCCACGAGCGTGATGAACAAGTTTGTGCGCTGACTCTATGTATACTAAGTTTGACGCGCGTGCGCGAGGCGCGGTTTCGATGGAAGTCTAGCTTTGGACGCCATGTTCCGCTGCTGTCGCGCACGCCGCTTGCAAGCATCTTCACCGCTGCCGTCTTGGCACGAGTTGGCTCCACCACGGAGTCTTTTTGTTTAGTCTGCGCAACCTTCGGCAGCTAACGGTACGCTGCGATTACCGTGGATATAAACACGATGCCTCGTCGTCGCCAATTGATAGGTGGGAATTGCGATAGTCTCCTGCGGCAGAATAGTGAAGGTGGCTTTCGACGCTCACTGTTTCGGGATGAAAACTTGCGTGACGCGTGCTGACACACTGCCACTCCACGGGGAACTATGAACCTGGCGCTGAGCCAAGGACAGGTTTCGTGTATGGCCCATTTTCTTGGCATATCGAAGTTTCTCTTTGATCAACGTTTCGAGTGTGTCTTACTAAAATGTTGCGATGAATGAGCACGAGCGTGATTCGCGTCTGCGAGCCGCCTAGTGTCCCCTCCACGTGCGGTGATGTGCCACGCCTATTCGCCATTGAGGGCTGTCCGGGAACGCGTCGCGCGATGCCGTCCAGGTGTCAAGTCGCACTACCGATAGCTTTCGCCTAACCATCGGTCGTGAAGCTGCGTGCATTTTGTCCAGGTTTATGTCCATATTTTTTTTTTATCGTAGCAGTCTGCAGGAGTGATCAGCAGCATCAGTTTTTCGCCGCACAAACTTGTGCGTGTGCTGGATATAGTTGGCAAGTTGAAATCTTCCGCCTTGCTTACTTCGTGGTTGTCGATAGGCGTGCTGCCTGCCCACTAAGCTTGAAGGTACTGCGCTAGTTCCGGTTGCTGTTCTAGCTTTTGGCACGAATCGCTAGTCGGAACTGGGTAGTCGAACTTAATATGCACGTCACGTTTGCACTCGGTGTGTGTAGCACCGAGTGTAACAGCCGTGTGGTACGCTTGCATCTGCATCGGTCTGCCTTATCGCCAACAGCTTCTGCAGACTTGTGTGCAAACGTGTCTGGCAGGTGCTGTAGTAATCGGCGCCCGCTGGTTGCTTCATCTGCGTGGTTGTTGCCGCAGGGGCTTCGCCGCAGTCTCAATTATATTTGGCTGAAAACTGGTATTTTGCCATGTTTGGCATCTGCAACGAATTCGTCTAAAAGCTATAGTGGTGGAATTGTGGATTTTAATCAGTTTTTTTTTTTTTCAACTCGTGTCATTGATGCAGCTGTCGCACGACTGCAACATCAAACGCGGTGTTTGGGGCCAACCTAAGCTGGGCGTTTTTGTGCGTGTTCATACTGATTTACTATATATGCACCGTGATGTGTGTGTTGTGTATAAAAGAACCACTTTGTAGGACTGCTGAAACATTAAATTGTATTCCATTAGCAACATTTCGCTATTGGGTTGGAAAATTGACCTTGTATCGCCTCACCTTTACTATGGGGAGCTTTTAAGATTGTTCACCATTATATATGGACAACTGTCGTCAAGCCGAAGAATAGTTATGGAATCCAAGTCTGTGTGGCTTGCAACTGTCGTTTCTCTTTCGTTATTATATACATTGGGCGGGGCACCCCTGGGGTAGTTGTTTTCTGAAGGCGAGAAAGTCAGGTCATTGTTTTATGCAGTGTTATGATGCGTAGTATGTTGACAGCAGCTTACTGGTTTAGCTTCATGCTTTCTGATCACTTTCAGAAATGGCCGCCAGAATGTGGTGTCATTTCACTGTGTGGAACCTCGGCAGTGGCGTGCATTAAAGGGTTACATGACACTGCCCCTTCTTTATACTCCGTTTTATATGTAGTGGGCGACACATTGAGAGCTAGGGGCACATGTATTTAGCAACTGTGTCTGCAACAAAAACCATTTCAGTGCTCTTATCATCCAATCTGTAAATATGATCTGGCTTCAAGCTGAGTAATTAGTCAAATCAGTTTCCTACCCCTCAAAGAACCTGTATGTCTGGTGTAGTAGTTATAGAAAATTTCACCTTCATTATGTTTCTTTTATTAGTTTCATTGGCACCCGGTAGCGGCGCCTCTCGCGCAGGCACAGGTCGTGCACCTGAGGTGCACATGCATACACGCTGTCATTCTGCATTTACGCACCATCACTAGTCTTTCCCGGTTTCCCCAAAGCAGTTTCGCCGCGGTGTGGTGCCGCAGCGATTACTGGGCTAATTTTATTTATTTTTTGTTTTGGTTCACTGGCTAAGGCAAATTAATCTTGCCTGCCCAACACAAAAAGGATCAGCCTTTTCGAAAGGTCATGCTGTCGTCCTGAAACACGCGTGTTCGATCCCCGGCGATACCATCTTTAACTAAGTGTCCGTGTATTCTATTGTGCAATGTCAGTGCGTGTCAAAGGACCACACGTCGAAATCGTTCACTACGATGTGTCTTATAATCATATCGGGGTATCGAGACTTATACCCCAATCTACTATTTACCGTCGTTAGTGAATATTTGAGGAAGTGTATCGCAGCAAACATACCAAATCACAGTGCAGCATCGCATTAATTAGTAAACCATTAAGTTAACCTGTACTATTTACTTTTCAAAGAGAATACATATCTCAATGAACAAAGGCGCTGGTATATGTACTAAAACAAGACTCGAGCTGTGTCGCCCCTTTTGAGCGCCATTCTCCTGAGAAATCGCTGGTTTTACTCCTGTAAATTTTTCTTTTCTAATTGATAAGCATGTCTGCCCAAACGAACGCATGGTGCAGCCTAGTAGCTTTTATGTATTTTTTCTCCTGAGCCATCAAAAAAAGGGCGAGGGGGAATAGTGCTATGGATACAGGACGTGTCGGCGACGGCGCTAATTGGGCTCAATATTGAAAGCAAGTAAATGTGTTTATTTTGTGCTTGTAATCTCTATGAAAATATAAATTATGCTTACGGGAACTGTACCACTCGTTTCACCTCATCTGCCCGCATAAGCAATTGGCGTTCTTTGTCGTTGGCTGAGAAAATCACTCATCCTACTGCACGTAAACTGCAGACTTGAAACGGAGTGGGATTTGAGAAGTAGCATCTTCCGTCGCTGCATCCCGCCACTGGACGGTTAGGAGCAAGTTTTGCCTGTCTTATAATGGAGCCCCTCCCCTTTATTTTTATTAGTCAAGTAGTCATGAATTCTATTCAGTTTTGTTGTTTAAAAAAAAAGGTAATACGCGATCACAAATATCCCCTTCAGACGCTAGTTATGATGCACTGTCTGCAAATGTCTAAATTTCGCTCGACATAATTCTAAGGCATTCAATGTTGCATTCCAAGTAGAAAAAAGCAATGTGTGAACTTGTTTTTCTGAGTTTTGCTACTTCATCTTAATTAGCATTGAAACATTTAGTTATTCGGCTGTTAGTTATGGTTGTTTCTTACGCGAACGGAATCTTGTGCACGAAATTTGCTATTATGTTTTTGGCTGTGTTAATGTGGAGCAAGGAAAAATATTTACGAAGTTTGTCCTGGTATGTTGAGCGACCCGTCGAACCTCGTAGTGCCTTCACCAGCACATTGAGGTTCAAAATCAAGTCGCATCGACTATGCAGAGTGTTCAATCGATCTTACGTGCATTGTATCTTGCCCTTTCTTTCCCACTAGTCCGAGGAACTGGCAAAAACAGGTTTTGTAACACAACAGCACCTTACATAATTTTTTTTCTAAGAATTTCTTGTCGTAGCAGAAATACTCTGGAACAACTTTTCTTTTTTCTGCATGCATGTCGAAAGTAAACGTCAGCCACGCGATGCATTCAGGAGAGTTGCTTGTTGGGCAAATTGGTACACACTTAACCACAAAAAAAGCCACACAATGTCGAAATTGGAAAAACCAGAGCAACAGAAACGGAGAGCAGAGATTTGGCACTAACACCTCGGTTGTTAATGCCACGGCTCTGCTCTGTTTTTGCTGCTCTGCTTTTTCCAATTTCCACATTTTGTGACTTCTATTGTTGTTAAACATGGATACATTTCTACACGTAGGTCAAAGGGTTTCCCACTTTTTGCAAATCTTGACAAATTGCGTTCCATCGCAACAAGCGTCTTAAGTACAATGTGGGCAGTGTTGTTTGGGTGCTTTCTAAAGCCTTTTTTGTTGTTGGTGGCGGATGTCGGGAACGTTAAGACGTTTTGAAAATCACACTAGTCGTCATCTTGAAAAAGAAAAAAAAAACAGCGCAAGCAGCACACAGACGAAGAAAGAGCAAAGTAAACCCGTGTGTTTGGTCTTCCTTGGTCCTTGTGTTGCTGAGCCGTTTTTAAAAATAAATCCTCACAATTTCTCCCAATTATCTGCTGTAATGATTGCAAAGGTCTTAGGTGGCTTCCCCAGAAATACCGCTGTCATTTACAAGCAGTGTTGAAAAGAAAGGGAAGGTGGGTCACTTGTCAGTGGTCTTATTGTTGAAGAATGTAAAATGGACAGTGCGCTCCTTGCCTAACCGTTTTTTTTTTTTTTAAATTTCAGTCTATATATTTGGCAATCTTAGTGGAGAGCTTATAAAAAGTCCTGGGTTCAAACGACAAACAGATCTTCGCATCTGTTCAATCACTCTAAACAACAGTATCGATGTTAGTTTCAATAAAGCAACCACACCACATACTGCCTAACTGCGTAGTCGCAGTGCCACTGTTTTGCTGAACAGCACTAAGCTATGTTAAAGGAACTCTGAAAGCAAGCACTGAGTCGACGT